ATTAGAATTTAGAAGTCACCGATGCAACCATCATTAAACTGCTGGAACAAAAGCATTTTCTTCTTCCTGTCACTATTTTTAAAACCATACATCTATACTGTCCAATGTGATAGCCACAAGTCACATGTGATTGTTGAGCACTTGAAATGAAGCTAGTCCAAGCTGACATGTGCCTGAAGTGTAAAATACACAACAGATTGCAAAGATTTAGCATGAAGAAAGAAGGTAAACTGTCTCATTAATCACTTTATATAGATTACTTGTTGAAATAAGAGTTTGGATATCTTGAGTTAAATAAAATAGATTATTAAAATTAATTTCACCTGCATCTTTCTAGTTTTTTTAAGGCTTCTAAAAAAGTTTAAACAGGCTGCTCACATATTCCAATTGGACAGCTCTGCTCTAAATGTCTCATAGTTTTATATTATGCTTCATACACCTAGTGCAAAGTTCACTTAGTCTGCAAATCATTACTAAGGGTTTACAAAGTGCCATGCTCTTTGCTTGATAGGAGGAACTGGAAAATGAAATGATCGTTTTTGTTTTTAAGGATCTAACATTTTAGAAGAGGTGTAAAGAAAATTAAAATCTACATGATACTCACTAATTCCCAAGCAGGGCCCTGACTTTATCTAGCTTAGGAGACATATAAAGGATGAACATTCAGTCTCCTTTGTAGCTCTGCAACCCTTATGATTGAATCCCAGGCCTAGTTTTTATGTCCTGGGGTGCATCCAGATTTGGTGGAACCTGAAGCTTATGGAAGCCAGCTTTAGTAAAAACTAGGATGCAAAATGATAATGACAAAATTAGGGTAAATATTATAATTGAAATGTGAAACACTTAAGTCAAACAAAGCTGGGAATGATTAAACCTCTGAGTGGTCGAGAGGTGACTCCAGAAGATCACTGACTTAGGTCATGTGGGATGAGTAGGAACTTGGTTAGGAGGGTGGGACAGCTTTCCCTGCCCGGAAGGAGCATGGGTAAAGGTACAGAGGCACTTTTGGCAAGAGTGTAAAAGGAGCCAATAATGAAAAGAAGTGAGGCTGCACAGAAGGTGGCCAAGGGACACATTATGTGAGGGCTTGCATTCCGGGCAAGGGCATGAAAATTTCATGCTTGAGTTCAGTAATTGGGAACTGTTGAAAGATTTGGAATTACATGATCAGAAATATGATTTAGAAAGACCACTGAAAGCAGTGGAGAGATCAGGCCAGGCACACTTCTGATTCAGCATGTGTACCCACCTCTCCATGAAAGGTAGCATTTCTGATTTGAGTAGTCACATCAGAGTGTCCCAGCGTATATCATATCTCCATAGTCAACCCGCAATCCCATGTGCCTAGATTACAGAATGCCCTTTCCCCTAAAATGTCCAAGGACTTCTCTTGGTTGACGTGTTCATTGAGTCAGTCTTATCTCTCACCTCCCCGCTAACTCCAAACCTCAGGCACTGCCCTCCACCACCCAAGAGAAGCTGCTGCTTCTGAATGAGCACCACATTCCAATCTAGAGACCTGGTGTGGCAGTTAATGCTGGGACACCCAAGCGATTTACAGAGCAAAGAGGCTGGTATCTGAAGAAATAGGGTTGTCCCAGAGGCCTGCAAAATGAAGGAATGACAACACTCCACTTGGGGCTACCTCAGCCAGTAGTGCTCCAGACTTAACGTGGCCCAGCACCTCAGGACACAACTCTTCAGACTCCCTCACGTGGCCAGTCTCCAAATCCCAACCTGCCACCTGAGGGATGTGCTCAGAGAAGTCCTGGACCCCCTGCCTCAGACACAAAAGTATCATTTTCTGTTGATGACCTAGTGTGGGATGGAAGCCATCTTATCAGTCTCTCTTCTTTATACACTGAGTAGCCTCGGTCAGGGTTACCTCAGTTTACGCCTAACTGGCAAACCATAACTTTGAACTCAGTTATGTACCCTGTGAACCCATGTACTACTTAAGCGAACTGGCTTACCCATTTCCATGCAAACGTCTAGCTCCATCTACCAATAGGTTCTGTGGCAAAAGCAAATAAATTGACCTTCTAACTTGCCAAATACACAGCTACAGTGGGAGTCACAGAAAGGACCTGGAACTCAATGAATGCCCACTCAAATTGCTTACTTTGTCTTATTCCTAAAGTGAACCTCCGCTGTAGGACGGTAAATACCCCTGACTCCTCCAGGTCCTGGATGGGGGTCTGATTACACTCTGGCACTCAGCCTGGCACCCTGATGGTACTGTCTACCTTTTACTTCATGATCAAGAAAGTGAAGCACCTTTCAACACAGGAATATTCAGGAGCAGGTGTAGTGGGGGGGTCACTGAACAGAGCTAAATCCCAATGTTCAGAGCAATGTATTTACCCCTATTGAGGCCAAAACACCTATGAACACCTTCAAGAAGGTTGAGAGCCAGGCTTGGTAACTGTGGCCCAAGTGTTCACCTAAATCCAAGCCTTAAAATGTCTTATAGGGTGTTATGGACTGAACTGTATCCCCTAAAATTCAAATGTTGAAGCCCTAATCCCCAGTGCAACTGTATTTCCAGATAGTAATTAAGGTTAAATGAGATCATAAATGTGGGGTCCCAATCCAATAGAACTGGTGTCCTTATACGAAGAGGAAGAGGAAGAGACACCAGGGATGGGCATGCACCAAGAAAAGGTCGTGCAAAGACACAGCGAGAAGGTAGCCATCTGCAAGCTACGGAGAGAGGCCTCAGGAGAAACCAAACCTACCAACACCTTGATCTCAGGAATATCAGCTTCCAGAACTGTGAGAAAATTAATTTCGGTTGTTTAAGCCTCCGGGTCTGTGGTATTTTGTTATTGCATCTCCTAGCAAACTAGTATTCAGGATATTTGAACAGAAGAAATATAACAAGTTAACTCAGCCTGTTTTCCAGACTAAAGAAAGAAACTCAGTTTCCTTCCTTTCCAAAGGAAATGGGATTTGATAAGAAGGCGATGTGATCAGGAGGTGGTGGAGGAACTTTTGAATGCTTTCTACCTGCCAGGAGCTACTCTAAATGTCATGTATATATTGAACCATTTGACCCTCATGAGACTAGAGGTAGATGTCATTACCCCCATGTTTAGCTGAGGAAAGAGAGGCTCAGGCGACTAACACCAGTGTGAGATGCAGGACCGTGCAATCACTGATCTGTGAGATCCAGAAAGGAGATATAAGATGGAAAGCCAAAAAGAGAACAAGAATTCCTATCTGAGGCCTTGCTTCTTCTTGACCTTTGGCTCTTCATGTAGGGAGCTCTGTCACTCTAGTGATGTAACCACTTTTCATTATTTATATTATGTGAGTATACCCATGATGCAATGGGGTTAAAAATGTGCCCCCTAGAAAGCACCATACCCCCCAAACAAAGAAAGAGATTTCCTGAACACAGTAAATGTAACCCATCTTTCACCCTTAGACACTCAAATCACACCATTTTGTCTGACTGTCTATGTCCTCTGATCCCTAGATCTTGCTTATTCTTTGTGTGTTGATTTAGATTTGAAGGTGAATTCTTTCACACCGAAAGACATGCAAAAGTCATAAGTCAACATTTCAGTGTTCATTTTATGTGTTTCTCAATTGTTTTTTCACACCATGCTATTTCCAAAATAAATGCTGCATGACTCTGTTACATTATTTTTCTAATCCATTACCAGTCAGTTCCAATGGACTAGTGCTTGATCAACAGAAAGTTTATCTTTTTTGCACACATAAACCCAAAGTTTAGATCCTAACTTTTTATAACTCAATATTCTAAAAGAGATACCTTCGAGGATCAAACTTTAAAGTAAATTCACAGCCTCTAGCTCTCTGAAAGCAGAAGCAACACACATGCCAGCCACACAAGGATTAGAAATTTGTGCTGTCACATGCAGTTGAACTGTAGAGTTTAGGTCCATGTTATACACGTGAAATGAATTTGTTTCCTTTTAGGTTTATCATGGAAGTTTTTCTTTGTTTCCAGTGAACATCCTATTCTTTTTAACTTACCCACAAGTACTGTTTCAGGAAATCCCCCCCCCTCTCCAAAATCAGAGAAAGTGAGGCTGAAAATAACAATCTCAATACTGGATAAATGTGAACACACACAGAACAAACGAAATAACAACAATAAAACACAGATGAGCCAGAAGGATTGTGTAGATTGAAGGGGTGTGTCCAGAGATGGTCATCACCAGGTAGAGGCCTTAGAGGCCTCAGAAGAGAGCATCTTAATCCAGAAATGGGGCTTCAGTTCTAAAGGCTCAGAAATTGGATTTTGTGAATATCCTAGGCAGACATCAGTTTCTCAAAAACAAAAGAACATCATACAAATTCATAAGAGGCTAATGTAACAGCCGGAATGTTGCTCAGTAGATTCTTCCCTGTCGTGAAATCTACATGGGAAGCCAAATTCTGAGGAAGAGATTGAACAATTCACATGTGCTCTGGCAATCAGAATACTGGCTTTTGCATCTTAAAGGCCCTGAAGCTGTTCTCTTAGGTAGGGTCGAATTCACATGGACAAAGTTTTCTCCAATTGCATGTAGTTTTCTCAACAGCAGCTTGAGGAACATTAATATAGCCAAATGATTTTTTCCATCTCTATGTTGGTTAGGGCTCAGAGGTGAGGGCACACTATCAAAAAGCACCTTCTAACCCCGAGCATTCAGAGAGCAGGATGCCACCTAACAGCACTCTCTTTAACAGAGGAAAACTTTTCATTTAGACTTTAATAAATTGCCTATTTATAATTTGGTTTACCATAATGTGATTCTTTTTAAAAAAATCACTTTAGGCAGTGCGCTCAGCTGTCTTGCATATCTGTCTTTTGCTTCAACAGTGTTTGGAATGAACAGACCCAGGGATGTTCCTTGCTCCAGCCTCTGACCACCCTCCAACCTTTTTTCCAGTCACAACCTCTGGAATCAGCCACTCACCTATCCTCGGCCTCCAGGACCAGCCAACACCATTTTTTGCGCTTAGCTCCTTACTACCAATCAACCATGAGCTCCCAGATTCGTCAGAATTATCCTACTGAAGTGGAGGCTGCCGTCCACCGCCTGTTCAACATGCATCTGCGGGGCGGGCACTTACCTCTCTCTGGGCTCCTATTTTGACCGCGACGATGTGGCTCTGCACGGCACTGGCCACTTTCTTCAGGAACTGGCCGAAGAAAAGCGCGAGGGCGCCCAGCGCAGGACAGGCCAACACCGTTTTTTGAGCTTAGCTCCTTATCACTGATCAACCACGAGCTCCCAGATTCGTCAGAATTATTCCACCGAGGTAGAGGCCGCCGTCCACCGCCTGTTCAACATGCATCTGTGGACACTTACCTCTCTCTGAGCTTCTATTTCGACAGCAGCAATGGGACTCTGGACGGTGTGGGCCACTTTTTTCGCCAACTGGCCGAGGAGAAGTGTGAGGGCGCCCAGCATCTCTTGAAAATGCAAAACCGGTGCTGTGGCCGCGCCCTCTTCCAGGATGCGCGGAAGCCTTCTCAAGATAAGTGGGGTGAAACCCAGGACGCTGTGGAAGCCGCCATTCTCAGGGAGAAGAACCTGAACCAGGCACTATCGGATCTGCGCGCCCTGGGTTCTGCCCGCGCAGACTCCCACCTCTACGACTTCCGGGAGAGCCGCTTCCGGGAGGAGCAGGTGAAACTCATCAAGAAGATGGGCGACCACCTGACTATCCTCCGCAGGCTGGCTGGTCCGCAGGCTGGGCTGGGCGAGTATCTCTTTGAAAGGCTCACCCTCGAGCACGAACAGGAGTCTCTGAAGTCCAGCGGCCTCTGAGGAGCCCCTCTGGCGTCACATTTCTGCAGCCACTAGGCAGCTTTTTAACCGCCCTGGAGCTCTCTCCCAAGCCTCAGACCAAATGGAAACAATAAAGCTTTTTGCAGCAAAAAAAAAAAAAAAAATCACAAGTTCTATCTCTTCTAGAGAACATACTAATCACCATCCATCCCCCCAACAAAAAAATAAAATTATGCACATACCAAACATTAGTATAGAATGCCTTTTAAAAATCCACTAATGTTCTTAAGATAAAGATTTAGCCCACTGTGGGCAAGCCCTATTTTATATTTTTTTCATTTTACACATCACAGTGTGTCAAAAACTAAAAGTGAAAAAACACTATTGAAGAATGCAAAACTGTGTATCCTGCTTTGTACACTGATTTCTCCCCCAGTTTCAAAAGATCAAGATATATCAAGCATTAGAACAAGATCCTCATAGGTGAGAATATTATTGAAGATACAGCATTACAGAGTAGAGAGAATAAAGAGGTAGAACCAGAGGTGCCTGCCCTCAAATTCAGGGTCCCTTTTACAAGCTGTTCCATTGTCACATCTTTAAAACAGGACTGATGATATCAAAAGTGTAAGGTCATTTTTAGAGTTAAAAAAGTTAATGTAATGTGCTTGGCATATGCAGACACTCAGTAAACAGTAGGTATCACAGCTGTCATTTCAGAGATACTTCAGTTTTTGAGCATTTCCTTTCCCTTCTCCAAAACAACCCTATATCCCTTCAGTTAAATGAAGTTTAACAAAATATCTTCCTAACCCACAGCATCTACAGATAGCTTAGGGGAGCGTCTATATTCTTAACTTTTCCAAAAGGACACTAGTGTCTTTTGCATGGAAACAGGGGGGGTTAAAAAGAAAGTACCAATCAGTTGAGCTTCTGTTTTAATGAGAGAACTGGAGAGAAACCAGACTTCACCTTGACCAGGACATGGAGATAAAGACTAAAAAGTGCACTTTTTTTTTTTTTTTTTTTTGCAGTACTTGGGCCTCTTACTGTTGTGGCCTCTCCCGTTGCGGAGCACAGGCTCCGGACGCGTAGGCTCAGCGGCCATAGCTCACGGGCCCAGCCACTCCGCGGCATGTGGGATCTTCGCGGACCTGGGCACAAACCCGTGTCCCCTGCATCGGCAGGTGGACTCTCAACCACTGCGCCACCAGGGAAGCCCTAAAAAGTGCATTCTTAAAGTGGAATTATCACAAAGTTCAGAGGTTGGTTTAGCTCCACTTCCTAATTCTATTTGTATTTGTTCTGTGGTGGCTTTCAAACTTTTAATATGTGATTTCAGCAAATGCTCTTTTTAATCAAAATCTCAGAGGTAACATACAGCTTGGTGACTGTAGTTGATAATGCTGCATTGTACATTTGAAAGTTGCTAAGCGAGTAGATCTTAAAAGTTCTCATCACAAGAAAACAATTATTTGTAACTTTCTGTGGTGATGGATTAACTAGACTTAATGTGATCATTTCACAATATATACATGTATCAAATCATTGTGTGGTACACCTGAAACTAATATAATGTTATATGTAAACTGTATCTCCATAAAAAAGTCTTGATGCCACCAAAAAGAAGAGGACCTTAGTATGGCTTTAACTCAAACAGCCTCTCCCCTCACTGTGTTACTGAAGGCTTGAAGGGTGTGGGCAGGGGAAAGGGGAAGGAGAGGAAACAGACAACACTAATTTGCATTTAACAACATACTTTCCTCTTTTATTTGCCTCCCACTTTTTCCTTTTTGCTTCTTACTTAAGTAAATATACCAGTAGGCCTTTCAGCAGAAAGAATAATCAATGAATAATAAACTCTATAAACAATAAACAGAACAATAAACTCTCAGTCTTTGTATATCTACAT